AAACATTTCACTAAAAGAGGTTGTTTTGATACCCAAATATCCTTAAATTGATCATCTCGACATCAAGATGCATGGACATGAGAAAAAAATGGATTTCAAGTTTTGGAAATAGTGCATCTTGTTACGCATTTTGGATTGTCAATTTTCAAGTTTTTCAAGTTCTCATAGATCAGTTTGATCTACACTATTTTTGAAGCTCTAAATTTTATAATTAAAGATGAAAATATATTTTAAGGCTATCACAAAGATTTTCAGTATTGAAACCACATTTCTCGACACTATTTGAAGGTGTGCTTTACTTTGATTATTTAGAGCCTTGGCTCTATACAAACGGCACCCCATATATATATATATATATGTGTGTGTGTGTGTGTGTGTGTATATTATGGACATAAATATGTAAAAAAAAAGTAATTGTATACATAGTTTTACTGTTTTGAGTCATTAACATTTTCCTTTTAAGTTAACCAGCTTCAAAAAAAAAAAAAGGCATTTTCCTTTTTAAACATTAATTTTAACAGTTCAAGCTCGAGTTTGTTTTCGGTCTGTGTTTTCATGCTCTTGATTATGGGTTAATTTTCCTCAGGCTGCCCCGAATGGGTCTTTTGTATTGCTTCATGGCTGTGCTCATAACCCAACTGGTATTGACCCTACTTCGGAGCAATGGGAAATAATTGCTGATGTCATTCAAGAAAAGAACCACATTCCATTCTTTGATGTTGCTTATCAGGTCGGAGGCTTCTAGGAACCCTTGGCTTATCTACTGATGTGGTTATCTACTCTGAGTAGTAAATATATATATGTTACAGGGATTTGCAAGCGGAAGCCTTGATGAAGACGCCTCATCTGTCAGGCTTTTTGTGTCTCGTGGTATGGAACTTTTTGTTGCTCAGTCTTACAGCAAAAATCTGGGCCTTTATGCAGAAAGAATTGGAGCTGTAAATGTTATCTGCTCATCCTCAGATGCAGCAGCTAGGTACACACTTTTTCTAGTCTGGTGTTTGATGTTGGCTTTTTTATTTTAAGAAAAAAGGGCTCTTTCTTTTCTAAGGAAAAAAAAAGAATGCCCCATTATTTTAAGTAGCAGACAGTGGAGGGCAGAGTGTCAAAGAAATTTACCTTTCTAGGTGCTACCTGTCCAAAAATATAGATATTAAAAAAGAGAGAGAGAGAGAAACAGTCTTACCCGTCCAAAAAAGAGAGAGAGAGAAAAAGAAGGAACGATCAGCCATCCAACAAAAAAAAGAAAGAAAAAAGAATGAACATCTTGGTTCCTGCTTATAATTTCAAGTTTCTGGGTCACTGATATACATTTGCAAGTGTCTGGGCAATTTTGTACATTTTCCTTTGTTTGGTACATTAATTTGTCAGCATTGCTTTACTTTAGGGTAAAGAGCCAACTGAAAAGGCTTGCTCGGCCAATGTACTCCAATCCTCCTGTTCACGGGGCTCGGATTGTTGCCAATGTGGTTGGAGACCCTGCCCTCTTCAGTGAATGGAAATCAGAAATGGAATTCATGGCAGGAAGGATAAAGAGTGTCAGAAAGAGGCTCTTTGAAAACCTTTCTCAGAAGGATAAAAGTGGGAAGGATTGGTCCTTTATTCTGAAACAGATAGGCATGTTCTCCTTTACTGGTTTGAATAAAGCTCAGGTAATTTCCTTTTATGAAAGTACTTTCTTATTCCACGAGGACTCTATATTATTAAAAAGAGATTGTATACTATAAGAACATTCACTTTTGGTAAAAGGAGGTCAGAATCACTCTTAGACATTGAATGTAAAATCCGACAGCTTAAAGTGTGTCGCATAGTTTGAGAAATTATATCTTGGACCCAGCCACCCAATTTTACATCTAATGGTGGATAGTGATTGTGACTTCCTTATACCAAATGTAAATGGTCTTATTGTATGCGTCTCCCATTAGAAATTCTTTCCATATATGAAATGAAGAATATCCGTTCTCAGATGTGTTTGTATAGTTAGTTTGTGTAGATAAGCATTTTCTGCCCTTATTCTCTCAGCTGGTCTAATATGGTTATGTTGGTCTGATCAGAGTGACAACATGACAAACAAGTGGCATGTTTACATGACCAAGGATGGCAGGATATCCTTGGCTGGGCTATCTTTGTCCAAATGTGAGTACCTTGCAGATGCCATAATAGACTCGTATCACAATGTCAACTAGAAGGTGATTGAAGGCTGTTTAGATTCTTCCAACGGTGGTTACATTGGAAATATATTTCCTCATTCTCTTAAGTTGTCTCAGCATCATGTAGAAGTACTCAAGATCATTAACTCTCCATTTATAGGTCATTATTGAGAACACAATAATTTCTCATTGAGAGATCATTGTTTTTGAACTTTGTAATACAAATTTTGATAATATCTCTGAGTTGGTCTAGCAATGTTATTGTCTTTTGCTCTCTTGATCTCCATCTTCTTAAATAACTAATTTTAGGATTTTTCTCATATTAGGACATATCTTGCCTGATTACATCATTTAAAACCAACATTGGGAGAAGTTTCCATGAATATCTTTGACCTGTAAATATTTCAGCATTTTTCTTTTCCCTTTATTTTTTGGTTCTGTCGTATTCTCCTTTCTCCCTCCTATGGTTTGTGCAGACAATGCTTCTTCTCTGAAAATTTGAAATTTACTATTTATCCAGTTGAAATCAAATTACATTCCTCATGCATAGATAACATTCTTCCTTGGTATATTTAAAGTTACACACATGGTAATTACACAGGTGGTAAGAAGTATGCTATTAGAATACAAGCACTACTTTCCTTTTTAAGATTACACACATGGTAATTACACAGGTGGTAAGAAGTATGCTATTAGAATACAAGCACTACTTTCCTTTTTAAGAATGAATACAAGCGCTACTCAATGAACCCAGCTGAGCAATCTCTCTAAATTTAGCTGTTGGCTTAATTAGAACCACACATTGCATGTCCACTATTTTAGGGGATCCTCTGCTTTCTCGTGCTGTTTTAACTTCTTAGTAGCACTCCTAGCTCAACCCACTAGCTTTTTCTGTGTTGGTCTTAAACCTGACAACTTTTTCAGCACTTCTTCCATGGATGGCCTATCAGACGGGATTCTACTCGTGCACTGCAAGGCCACTTCAAGAACATGTCTTACCTCTTCTTTTGCTACTTTGTCCGTTATAGTTCCTTGATTCTCATTGTAAATCTCCTTGAGCACTTCGTCTTCGGGCCTGTTCTGTATACTTGTGTTATCGATGGTTCTCCCATTGGTAAGAATTTCCAATGATAACCTTCCAAAGTTGTAAATATCTCTGTAAATATCCTCTTCTGTTGCAGTTTCCAGCTTTCCTGTTGAAGAAACATTCGAATGTTAGCTGTTTGCGTATCAAGCAAGTAGTGTTTAAAACTCAAATTTGGTGGCTGACCCAGCCACTGCCAAAACTGAGTCAATTCTCTTTTCAAATTCTTTTGTGAAGAATTTTATGTCTTTATAATGGGACTTAAACCTATTTGTTCTCCTGAGTCGCACCACAATATTAAGACACTGGCAGACACCATTTATTTATCAGATTAACATAAAATATTAATATATAAAAAAAATTCAACATATCCTGAGTTTTTCATTTATAGAAGGAAAATTTATCAAAATATACCTTAAAGTTGAACTATTTAACATTTTACCTTAATTGTAATTCAATAAATGTGAGAGCCCACTTTGATGTGTCTCTGATGGGCTATTTGAGGTTTGATCAAAAGAATATGAGATATTTGTAATTAGATAAAAATCGTACGATGTTAAGTAGTTCAAATCTTACGTGTAGTTTGATAAATTTCCAAGAATGCACCAATTAAATGAGTTCGATTGAATCCGACGAGTGTTTCCAACTCAAAATGAGTTTTTGTCCACTGGTATCTAGTGATTTACAATGGTAGTCTAATAAATCACATGAACATTAAAATGTAAAATCATAGAGATGTCTTTGGGGGAAAAATGGCATTATTATATTTGTTGTCTCTATCTGTTGAATGATCTTTCTCTTTTTCTTCTAAAACGTCTGTCGTTTCCCAAAGGTTTCATTTAGTAATGTAATGCATGAATGGTTTTTTAGTTAGATTTGGCAAAATTAGACGTCTCAGTCATTCCCAAACATTAGGAAATATTTGAAATTTCTAAAACTATTGACTGAAAGACTCAAAGACAGAACAGAACTGTATTATCTTACCTGTGACTGTGATAATGAAATTAGTTTGAGAGAACCCTCCTGCATGTCTACCTCCGTTCATATGCAACAACCTATTCAAGCCAAATTCGGCCAGATGGGGCTCCATAGTTTCATCAAAAAGTACGTTACTTGCCCTCAAATCTCCATGGGGAATAGCTGGGTAACAGTCATGGTGAAGATAACAGAGCCCCCTAGCAATCCCAATTACAACCCTAAAATTGTCTGTCCAGGTGCTGATGGCAGGATCTCTCTTCATTTTCATCCTCTCAGCCAAGCTTCCATTTGGCAGGTAGTCATAGAGAAGAAGAGCAGTTTTGTTATTAGAGCAGAAACCCAACAATCTGATCAGGTTCCTATGTCTAGCATGGCCAAGTCTGTTTATAAATTCCGTCATCCTCGTCCTATTTCCTGGTCCCCATTCAACTTTCTTCACTGCAACTGTTATTCCTGTGGGCAAATCTGCTTTACAAACTGGAGCAGGTGCTTGTTGTGGTAACCCTGTTTCCACACAGTTTCCATAGCTCAAGCTCTTCAAAACATCATCCTTTTTGAACTGTGGGAGTCCGCTAAAAACAATCATCTTCCACTGAGCTCGCCTTCTATTAAAAAAGAAGATCCCGAAACTGGAAATTATGATGAAGAAAACCAGCCCAATTGTTAATAACACTGTCCATGTTGCTTTCTCTGAGGTTTTGTTCCTCAAGTTGAGCCCAGATGCCTCTGGATTTCTGGGCGATTTAAGGCAAGGTTGGAGAGGACCCCCACATAACCATGGATTTCCTGCAAATGCACTAGTATCCATCAATCTGAACATGCCTGTTGAAGGGACTGAACCCGAGAGATGGTTGAAAGAAACATTGAAAAGCACCAAATTGGTGCAGTTGCTGAGCTCTCGGGGAATCGAACCACTTAACTCATTATGAGACAGGTCCACTACATTGATGAAATGAAGATTTGCAAGCTCGCGAGGAATCAAACCTGTCAGTTCATTGTCCCTCAGCGCTAACGTCTCAAGCCTCTTGCAATTAGCTATGCTTTCTGGTATGTCCCCTGATAATCTATTCCCGTTCAATTCAATAACAGAAACTGAGCCGCATGACCTGAATTGGGGTAGTTTTCCTGAGATATTACAGAAAGCTGCTGAAAAATTTTTCAAGACTTGTGAAGACCAGATATTTGCTGGTATAGTGCCCTTCAAGTTAGGGTTGTATGAGACATTGAAGTATTCAAGGTCGGGAGCTTGGGATAAGTCTCCAGGGACCTCTCCTTCTAGGTTGTTTCTTGACAAATCGACATAATTGAGACTAGGAAGAATACTGAATTTTAGAGGAATTTCTCCAGAGATATTATTCCCTGCTATTCGGAGACGAACAAGAGCAGAGCAATTTGCAAGGGAAGAGGGAAATCCACCTGTAAAGCCATTGGAGAAGAGGATTAACTTGTACAACTTGCCTCTTTCGCATAGGCCTTCTGGAATTTGCCCAGTGAACCCATTTGTGGAAACGTCTAACCACTTGAGCTCTGAGTTCCTACCCAAACTGGGGGGCAGATTTCCAGTGAAAAAATTGTTCCATATCAAAAGGCTTTCCAAATATGGTAGCTCTGCAATTCCTTCAGGAACATGTCCACTCATTTGATTATACATTAAGCTTAGGAGTCGGAGATTCTTCAAGCCTGTGAAGCTCTCCGGAATGGGCCCCGATAACAGGTTATCAGAGAGATCGATGAACATCAGTGATGAAATATTACCTAAAGTAGAAGGAATTACCCCACTTAGTTCATTTCGAAAGAGGAACAGATACTCTAACTTGGTGAGATTGCTGAGCTGCTCAGGAATTGAACCAGAGAGCCTGGCATCTGCAATGTCCAGATACTGAAGCTCACTCATGTTACCTAATTGCCATGGGATACTTCCATTAAAGAAATTATACCCAATTTCCATGTGGGTCACTGTTATGAGCTTGCCAAGCTCTGCTGGAATCTCGCCTGAAAGAAAGTTTCCAGCAAGATGGAGAAATTGGAGGCACCTGAATGACCCATATTCAGGTGGAATTGAACCTTGGAAATAACTTCCAGCCAAATTAAGCACTTGAAGAGAGTCTAAGTGAGCTATATCCGGAGGCAAAGGCCCTGAAAAGCTATTACTAAAGGCATCCAGGACAACTAAATGCTGGCTTTTGGATAATTTTGATGGAAAATGGCCGCTAAAATTGTTTCGACTGATGTCTAGGGTTTTGAGATTGGGGAGGTTGAGTATAGATGCTGGAAGTTGGGCAGAAAATGAGTTATGGCTGAGGTTTAGGTCCACAAGATCAGGTAAGAGCTCGATATAATTGCCGGAAATGGTCCCAGAGAGGTTTTTAAAAGAGAGATTCAGGCCGATTATTTGGGTTGAGTTATCATTGCATCTGATTCCTGTCCAAGAGCAAGCAGCAATGGAGGTTGGGGGCTTTCGATGGAAGGAAACTGACCAGTCTGATAAACTGTTGGAGCTGTCAAGGAACTGTGATTTTAAACCTAAGAGAGCTTTCGAACACCTGTCCATGACTACTGCATCTCCAAAGCTGCAACTGAGGAGAGAGAGAAGAGCCAAAACCAATGGAAAACTGAAGCTCTTGCGCTTTTCTTCCATGGTTCTTGTCCTAATAATTGAAGGTACCTGAGTTTTTGAGGAACCCAATAAATGAAACTTGAATACTGGCAGATGATCTTTAGAAACAACGCAGGTGTCGACACCCACTTGGAGATACCAGTAAAATGGCTTCTCTGATGTAGGGTCTTTGGGTGAGCACTGTCAGAGCAAAATGAAGATTAGAAGCTTGAGATTAACGTTGCTCGGGAATCATTCTTGCTATTTTTTAGTGGGTTAAAGTTGCATGGGAATTAGCAAAAGTTAGAGAGAGAAAGAACGAGGCTCTTTGGCAGTTGTATGGGAATAGTACTTTTTCTATTGCTTTTGGGAGCATGATGGTCCAAAGTGGTGGCCATTTTATTTGAAGGTTGTTGGCCACTAGGGGGGAAATCTTGAGGCCCTACCTTTATAAAGTTGCTTTTTCTCAAGGAGCCTACCAATTCTCTAATTGGATTCGTTCGAGTGGGGTTGCTTATCGATTCTGTCCTTACTTAGACTGAAAACCCGAACTTCTCACTTAGCTCTCTCTCTCTTTCTCACTTACAGATTTTGGGTTGTTGCTACCTGCTTATGTTTGAATGTGTAAAGTGGCTCAAACGGGCAAAATACTTAGTATTGCTTAGTATTGGTTGCGATTTAATTATGGTTGAGAATATGTACCATCATACTCACTAGCGTATGGCCATTAATACAGCAGAATGACGGATCAGTATTCGTGTAGAAAAAAAGCTATGATGATAAAGATGATGATGATGGTGATACTCACCATCATACTGGGAGAAAATAATTACAAGGACATATGCTATGCTCTTATAGGAGCATAGTTTACTTCTATTCACTTGGTCAGAAGCCTTTCTTGGGAGTGTTTTTTTCGATCTGAAATTTTGGGAACTATTTAAGAATTTCTGGATGATTATTTTTTAAAAAAGAAATGAAATTTGAGTTTTTTAACACTTAGTGTTCATCATTTAAAAATATTTTATGGTCTCTATTCAATCTCGAGATAATGTTATTTTCAAGTGCAAAGAGGGTACAAGTAGATATTTTTTCTTTTAACCGAGGTTAATCTATGGGTTCAACGGGTTACATCTCTGAGATTTGGGTCCTAAAATTAATTATAGTTGGGATTTTTACCCAGGAGTATGATATCTTTTGGCAATAACTATATTGTGTAAGTAATTTGTTACTAAGAAAGAATAGTAGCAGATCCTAAATATCTAACCAAGAAAAGTTATTCGGTTATTCTTTGCGTTGCTCTATTTTGTTGAATGATGGGGATTTGCTAATGCTCACACTTGTTCAAATGCGGTCTCCTTCCAAAATCCCTCTTTTTAAAATTTAAAGTCTATAATCTCAGCCACAATGGTCATGAATCTAAAAATGAGTAAATTTTAAATCTTAAAAACATATGATTTTAAATTTTGTTTATATCATTTATTCAAATTCATGTGCCATAGGCAAATACAAGAACAAGATTAAACTTCGAATACAGAATCCCGGAAGTAAACACTAATGAAGAACACATAAAAAAACATTTCTTTTTGCAAAGTAGTGTGCTGTTATTTTTCTATCTTTTATTAATGAATACTGGGTAGGGGCGTCTTCCCCCATTGATTAACCCCAAAAATAAATTTTTTTTTGTTAATGGCACGTTTGAGCAAGAAATTTCAGATCTAGATATTAGAAGTTTCCATTTTTTGTAGCACTTTCTTGTTTGTTAAAGGGTAAAAGTACTGGCTTTTGGAAGTTGTGTTCTCAAAAAATGAGAACCTTCGGCTTCAAAATCCCCCACCCCAAATGGAAGTTCGTTTGTCATATTTTTAGGAAGTTCTTATCTTGCAAATTTTCCTCTCTAACTCCTTTCTCCCTCTAATCATATTATTTCTCTCTCTAAGTTATCTAAGTGTGTCTTTTCTCTCTCTAATTATTTGTTTTGTAAGTCCTATGTTTCTAACCATGCCCTTTAATCCATTTCTTTATGAAGCCATAAGCTTTTTTAGATCACTGTGACACCTGATCTCTATATTCAAGAACTTTCAACAAGTTAACAGACAAGTATTCCAAAATTTCGAGATATCAACAGTTTCAGCTCGAAGAAAACTTAAATTTCAAAGTTCCCGCCGAATCAGTTGCCAAATGTGCACTAAAGGATACTATTTTTTTGTTAAAGCAAGTTGCAACTAGTATAAGGCCTACGCTTAATGTTAGAAAGCAAAGCCATATGTCAAATCCCTCTAGAAAATACAGTTCCAGCATAAAAAACCCCCATGATGGTGTGAAAATCTATTTCCACCGCTATTTATGAAGTTCGAGTTCTAAAAATGGTGATCAGGTGGATTTTGTGAACACCTGAAAAAGGTCAGTCTCGATAATGTGCTACAAGATATAGTATTTTTATGGCTTAAAATGCATTTATTTTAGATCTATAATTATCAAGGCTGAGATGATAAATGTAATAAGGTTTAGCTGCAAAATTGCATTTTTTTTTAGATAGTGAGGCACTGTACTTATCACAAACCTTAGGCCTTATATAACTTTTTTCTAATTTAATGTATAAACCTTGAAATAAATAAGTCTTTATTCTAGTGAAGTACTTTCTACAAAAGACCATTTTGGTTACTTGGCTGGGTTAAATTGAATATAAATGAGCCATAAGTCACTGGTCAACACTAACAAGTTATCACATTGACTCGCACTTTTATTGTTAGTTGGACCTAAGTTTGATATGTTAAACCTCATAATCTCTATGGTGTGAGCCCTGCAATCTGTACCATATGAATGAGTGGACATTATAAATTATACCTCAATCCCTAAACAGGGTAACCAGGGATCTGAGGCTTTGGTTCCTTAAACAAGGCGACAAAGGCAACATTAGTATCGGCTTAGGAGACCTCTTTGCCCTAATGTTGGAGGTATCGGTCCAAATAATCTTGCGATCACAATCCCCTCTATCCTTAGCCTTAAGGGGTTTATGAACAGCATGTTGATGGAGCACCTTGGTAATCTTTAGTATGATTGCTTTCCTCCCAGCACCCGTCCCCACCCCACCCGCCCTCAAAAAAAAAAAAAATAAAATAAAAAAAAACCTATATTTTGACCTTACATACATTGTCTGGGATCTATACAGCCACATTTAGGCTAAACTCATGCCTGCTTCAATAGTTAGGATCAACCCTTAATCTAATGGTGTCTCTGAATTAGGGCCTGCTACCTTATTAAGATTCAATTTGGACCATAGATTATTGTGATTTATTCGGTAAAGAGAGGCTTTTAATCTCAACCCTCCATTCTCTAAATCAGCCATCATGATAAAGGAAATGATCTATTACCCTTATCCATTAGTTTCCTTAATGGACGTAGTTAGCATGGCCCGCACATGTAGAAATGCAGGCCTGGCAATAAATACATTTTTTAAATATAATTTGATCCAATTTTTTGGTGTATATATATCTTTAACATGGAGATCATGAATACGAAAACAAAATAAAAATAAAAACTAGAAATAATACTTATATTAAGAAAATATTTGGACATTTAGTTACAATTGTTTTTAGATGGACCACATATTTGTTCTTCTTTAATACATGCTCTTTTAATCCAATAATTTCCAGCAATATAGTAAGCTTTTAGATGATGAAAATTTCATTCTAAATATCCT